AGAAGAGAAGAGAAGAGAAGAGAAGAGAAGAGAAGAGAAGAGAAGAGTTGGAAGGGACCTTGAAGGTCTTCTAGTCCAACTCCCTGCTTAGGCAGGATACCCTACACCACTTCAGACAAATGGTTATCCAACATCTTCTTAAAAACTTCCAGTGTTGGAGCATTCATAACTTTTGGAGGCAAGTTGTTGCACTGGTTAATTGTTCTAACTGTCAGGAAATTTCTCCTTAGTTCTAAGTTGCTTCTCTCCTTGATTAGTTTCCACCCATTGCTTCTTATCCTACCCTCAGGTGCTTTGGAGAATAACTTGACTCCCTCTTCTTTGTGGCAACCCCTGAGATATTGGAAGACTGTGATCATGTCTCCCCTAGTCCTTCTTTTCATTTAGACATACCCAGTTCCTGCAACCGTTCTTCATATGTTTTAGCCTCCAGTCCCCTAATCATTTTGTTGCTCTTCTTTTCACTCTTTCTAGAATCTCAACATCTTTTTTACATCGTGGCGACCAAAACTGGATGCAGTATTCCAAGTATGGCCTTACCAAGACATTATAAAGTGGTATTAACACTTCATGTGATCCTGATTCTATCTCTGTTTATGCAGCCTAGAACTGTCTTGTAAACACTTCCTCATCCCCAGCTCCCATTCTCTAAAATGTTGAAAAAACAGAACCCATCGAAATAGAGCTTGAAGGAATCTTGAACATCTTCTAGTGCAACCCTCTGTTCAAGCAACCCTCTGCTATACAATTTGTGACAAGTAACTGTTTAGTCTCTTCTTGAAGACCTCCAGGGATGAAGCACTCACAACTTCTGAAGTCCCCTTATGACTTGAACTTTTCCAGAAGGATCCATTGCATCTAACATCCACATTCACCCATAAACAGTGTTAATGTTTCCTCAACCTACTACATTGAAGTTGTACTGGATGATAAGCTACATGATGACAGGGGAGATGAATCAACCCAATTAAAGAGACACCAGACTGGAGAAATTGGACATACCTAGTAAACTTAAAGGGACACGGTGGCTCAGTGGCTAAAACACTGAGCTTGTCAAGCAAAAGGTCGGCAGTTCAGGGGTTCGAATCCCTAGTGCCGCGTAACATAGTGAGCTCCCGTTACTTGTCCCAGCTTCTGCCAACCTAGCAGTTCAAAGCATGTAAAAATGCAAGTAGAAAAATAGGGACCACCTTTGGTGGGAAGGTAACAGCATTCCGTGTGCCTTTGGCGTTTAGTCATGCCAGCCACATGATCACGGAGACGTCTTCGGACAGCGCTGGCTCTTCGGCTTTGAAATGGAGATGAGCACTGCCCCCTAGAGTCAGGAACGACTAGCACGTATGTGCGAGGGGAACCTTTACCTTTACTTAGTAAACTTGTAGTGATCAATCAAAACTTTGATTGCACAGAGAAATAAAAACCTTCCATCTCTCTCTTTTGCTACAATGCTATTTTATTATCCGACGGAGGAACCCGAACGTGAGATGAAGTCACATCAGAACGTCACCTCTTCTCTTTCTTCTTCTACCACAAGAATCAATAAAGACCCTTGTGATCCAACTCAAATCGAACCCTCCTGCTCCTTTGCTACATCTTGAGAATGGTTTGGCTCTCATCATCCTTGCACCCCACCGATAGAGTGAGACAGTCAAACAGAATACTCCTATTACATAAACTTGATTTATCCCCGTGCTCTATGGCATGGAGAAAGGGACAAAAATAAAATAAAATAAAACCCACCCAGCATGGATTTATATCTCTTTGATGAAAATTATTCTGATCATAATCTCCTCCTTGACATTTTTGTCCAATCGGGAAGAAGGAGATCACAATTTGGTGCACACAAAAGCCTCTTCTTCCATGGACAAAATGAAGCATCTTTGGTGATTGTCTCCTGCCAGAATCAAGTGCCAGGAGACACGGGACTTCTCTGTGGTTCTCTGAACCTCGCTGTATTTTGAACAGCAACATGTGGTACCCAAAGCCCACCAACCTTGAAGTGAAACCTTTCTTCTATCCATGGGTCCTGAAACAATGCCTAGGTTCCCTTCCAACAGAGGGCTGCCAGGCAGTGGCAAGCAAAGCATCTCTCACAGAGAACTTCTGCCTTAAACCACCCCACCCCACCCCACCTCACCCCAAAGTGGGACGATAAAATGGGGGATAGGGGTGCACTAAAACATCAGCCTAGTGGGTTGTTATTACAAACTTAACAATCAGCAAGCAGCTCAGGTCAACTAGCAGATTGTTCTCAAGGGGGTCGATCCTTCTGGACCCCTTCCTTCCTTCCTTCTCTCTCTCTCTTCTTTGCCCCTTCACCTCTTTCCTATTGTCTGGACCCCTTCCTTCCTTCCTTCTTTCTTTCTTTCCTTCCTTCTTTCCCTCCCTCCCTCCCTCCTTCCTTCCTTCTCTCCCTCTCTCCTTTATCCCTTCAATCCTTTCTTATCTTATGGACCCCTTCCTTCTTTCCTTCTTTCCCTCCCTCCTTCCTTCCTTCCCTCCCTCCCTCCTTTACCCCTTCACCCCTTTCCTATCTTCTGGACCCCTTCCTTCCTTCCTTCTTTCCCTCCCTCCTTCCTTCCTTCTCTCTCTCTCTCTCCTTTATCCTTTCACTCCTTTCTTATCTTATGGACCCCTTCCTTCCTTCCTTCCCACCCTCCCTCCTTTATCCCTTCACTCCTTTCTTATCTTCTGGACCCCTTCCTTCCTTCCTTCCTTCCTTCCTTCCTTCATTCCTTCCTTCCTTCCTTCCTTCCCTACCTCTCTCCTTTACCTCTTCACTCCTTTTTTATCTTCTGGACCCCTTCCTTCCTTCCTTCCCTCCCTCCCTCCTTTACCCCTTCACTCCTTTCTTATCTTCTGGACCCCTTCCTTCCTTCCTTCCTTCCTTCCTTCCTTCCTTCCTTCCTCCCTCCCTCCCTCCCTCCCTCCCTCCCTCCCTCATCCTCTATCTATCTATCTATCTATCTATCTATCTATCTATCTCTATCCATCCATCCAACCAACCCTCCATCCATCTATTTCATTCTCACGACACCCCGCTGCACGTTACCCACGCGCGCTGGAGGCAGGTCACCAAGTGTGAGCGCGAGCGGGAGAGTCCCGTCCCGAAACGGAGACCAAAGTCGTCCGGCGGAAAGGAGGGGGCCGTCGCTTGCGCCCCCGACCGGCTTCGCCTCGCCCCTCTCCAGCCCCGAGCAGCGGAAACGGGATGCCCTCAACCCCCACCCCACCCCACCCCGCCTCGCCCCGGCACCGCGGCGCCTCCGTCCTCCGCCCGTGAACTGCCGGCAAGGGTCCGCGGGCGCACCCCGACATTTCCAAATCCTCCCCCCTCAAGGTCTTGCAGCGCGCGCGCCTGCGTCCTCCTCGCCTCTCCTTCCCGCAGCTTCGCCGCCTTTGCCGTACTCACCTGCCCCGCTCGAGCGGGCGGGCGGGCAGCCCTCCCCGCAGCTCTCCCCCTCCCTCTCCCGGCCGCTTCCTTCGCCTTCGGATAAGACGGAGCCGGCCGGCAGCGTCCAGCGAGGGAAAAGCAGCCAGGCGGACCGGCAGTGCGCAGAAGGCGGGCAGCGCGTCGCGTGGGCACCGCTGCCGCCGCCCCGACTGCTCGGGAGAGCCGAGGAGGACCGTCAGGCACGCAGGCTGGAGGGGAGGGGGGGTGGGGGAGGGTGGAGGAGGGGCGAGGGACCGGCCCGCCTGGGCGAAGGGAGGCAGCGGCGCCACCTCGGGCCCGCGCGCCAAGGACCCGCTTGTTTACTCCGGGAGGGCGCGCGGCACCCTGAAGGGCGAGGAACCCGGAGGGCCGCTTCGGTGGGATCCCCACGTGCTCTGCTGAGGGGGAGGACTTGCAGGTGTGAATGAGGTAGTCTTAAGTGGAGGGGGGGTTCTTTCTTTCTTTCTTTCTTTCTTTCTTTCTTTCTTTCTTTCTTTCTTTTCCTCACTTATTTCCTTCCTTCTCTTTCTTTTCCTTCCTTCCATCCGTCTTTTCCTTCCTTCCTTCCCTTTTTCTTTTCCTGCCTTCCTTCCTTCCCTTTTTCTTTTCCTTCCTTCCTATTCTTTCTTTTCTTTCCCTCCTTCCTTCCGTCTTTTCTTTCCTTCCTTCCCTTTTTCTTTTCCTCCTTCCTTTTGATTTATATGCCGCCCCTCTCCGGAGACTCAGGGCGGCTTACAATGCGTTAAGCAATAGCCTTCATTCTTTTGTATATTTTATACAAAGTCAGTTTATTGCCCCCACAAACTGGGTCCTCATTTAACCTACCTTAGAAAGGATGGAAGGCTGAGTCAACCTTGAGCCTGGTAAGATTCGAACCTGCAGAAATTGCAGGCAGCTGTGTTAATAACAGGGTGCATTAAACCACTGTCCTACCAAGGCTCTTTTCCTTCCTTCCTTCCCTTTTTCTTTTCCTCCTTCCTTCTCTTTTTCTTTTCCTTCCTTTCCTCTTTCCCTCTCTCCCTCCATCCATTCCTTCTTTATCGTTTTCTTTTCCTCACTTTCTTTCCTTCCTTCTTTTTCTTTTCCTTCCTTCCCTCCTTCCATTCATCTTTGCCTTCCTTCCCTCCCTCCCTCCTTCTAGCTTTAACCAGAAGCCAACACAAGTTTGTCAAAAACAGATCATGCCAAACCCTTCCTTATCGTTTTCTTTTCCTCACTTCTTTCCTTCCTTCTTTTTCTTTTCCTTCCTTCCCTCCTTCCATTCATCTTTGCCTTCCTTCCCTCCCTCCTTCTAGCTTTAACCAGAAGCCAACACAAGTTTGTCAAAAACATATCATGCCAAACCCTTCCTTATCATTTTCTTTTCCTCACTTCTTTCCTTCCTTCTTGTTCTTTTCCTTCCTTTTCTTTTCCTTCCTTCCTCCTTCCATTCATCTTTTCCTTCCTTCCTTCCCTCCCTCCCTCCCTCCTTCTTCTAGCTTTAACCAGAAGCCAGCACAAGTTTGTCAAAAACATATCATGCCAAACCACTCTTATTTCATTCTTTGACAAAGTGACTAAATTAGTAAACCAGCAAAATGCTGTGGACATAGTATACTTGGATTTCAGCAAGGCATTTGACAGAATAGACCACAACCTACTTCTTGGTAAGCTAGAAAAAAAAAAGTGAGATGGAGAGCATCACCACCAGGTGGATTTGTAACTGGCTGCCAAACTGCACTCAACAAATAGTCCTTAATGGTACTACATCTACATGGAGGGAAGGAAGGAAGCAGTGGGGTACAAGGTTCCATCTTAGGCTCAGTACAATGTCTTCATAAATGACTTAGATGAGGGAATAGAAGGGGAACCCATGAAATTTGCAGATGACACTAAGCTGGTAGGAATAGCCAACAACGCAGAAGACAAGCTCAGGATCCAAAAAGATCTTGAACGATACGCCTTATCCAACAACATGAAACTTAATGTAGAGAAAAGCAAGGTTTTACACCTACGCAGGAAAAACCAAAGATACAAGTACAGATCATTAGGCTAACCCTGGCTCAAAAACAGTAACTGTGAGAGGGACCTTGAAGTCCTAGTGGACGATCATTTAAACTTGAGTCAGCAGTATGCAGCGGCAACCCAAAAGCCAATGCAATCCTTGGTTGACATAGAATCAAAAACATGTAACGTATTAGTACCGCTTTATAAATCATTAGTAAGGCCACACCTGGAATACTACATCCAGTTTTGGTCACTACGTTGCAAAAAAGATGCTGAGACTTTGGGAAAAGTGCAAAGAAGAGCAACTAAGATGATTAAGGGCCTGGAGACAAAAACATGAAGAACAGTTGCAGGAACTGGGTATGGCTAGTCTAGAGAAAAGAAGGACTAGGGGTGACATGATACCACTCTTCCAGTATTTGAGGTGCTGCCACAGAGAGGAGGGGGGGTTCAACCTGTTTTCCAAAGCACCCGAAAGCCAGAGAAGGAACACTGGATGGAAACTAATCAAGGAGAGAAGCAACTTGGAATTAAGGAGAAACTTTCTATCAGTGAGGAATGGCTTGCCTTCAGAACTCGTGGGTGCTTCATCACTGGAAGTTTAAGAAAAAACTGGACAGTCATCTGTTCTGAAAAAGCATAGGGTCTCTTGCTTAAGCAGGGGGCTGGACTAGAAGACCTCCAAAGTCCCTTCCATCAGCTCTATTCTGATTGATGGATTCTCTTTCTTTTCCTTCCAACCTCCCTCCTTTTTTTCTCTTTCTCGTTTGCTCTCCCTTTTTCCTTCCTTCCTTCCTCTCTCCCCCTCGCCTCTCTTTTCTTTCTTTCTTTTCTATTTCTACCTCTTTTCCTTCCTTCCTTCCTTCTTTCCTTCCTTCCTTCCTCTCTCCCCCTCTCCTCTCCCTTTTGTTTCTTTCTTTCTTTTCTATTTCTACCTCTTTTCCTTCCTTTCCTTTCCTTTCCTTTCCTTTCCTTTCCTTTCCTTTCCTTTCCTTCCCTTCCCTTCCCTTCCCTTCCCTTCCCTTCCCTTCCCTTCCTTCCTTCCTTCCCATCTCAGCTTCTCCTATTCAGCCTGTCCCCACAGGTAATGCCAGAATGAATGTCGCTTATTTGTATTGCTAATATTTCTTTTTTAAAATGTATGCTGCCCATTCCTCTTTAGGGCATTGACTGATTTACAAGTAATGGTGCCCATAATCCTGTTTCCAACCAGGCTGAGAAGGTCTTTAAAAACTCTGTTAGAATCCCTAAGAGAGGCTGAGTTTGACTCAGGATAAAGTAAGATCAAATGAATCTGTGAATGCCTCTTTTAGAAGGCCTTGTTTTTCCTTTTGTCTTAATTTCACACATGCAAAGCTCCTGTTGAGGTCTGCAACGCAACTGCAGACTTAAATCTTCCAGAAACCAGCTTGACATACAGAATCTTTAATGATTAACCAGATAAGTATGTTTATTGGCAAAGGATTTTAAAATATCTGAGCTTGAGATAGTTATGTGTGCCAAACTACACACAGTTTACATAACGGTTGAAACTTGTTAATAATCTATTATGCCTTAGATATTTTCTGTAGCGGGGAGCAACATGAGAGAGACTTTTCCATCACAGCTGAGAAACTACCAAAAGGAAGCACATTGGAGGAAAAAAAACAAAGCCATTACAGGAAAAGAAGAATTACAAAATGAATGCATCCTATAATTTTTACTAATTTATATCCCACCTTTATTATTTTTATAAATAAATCAAGGCAGTGAACATAACTGATACTCCTGCCTTCTATTTTCCCCACAACAACAAACCTGTGAGGGAGAAAATGTCCCCAATCCAAAGTCACCCAGTTGGCTCTCATGGCTAAAGTGGGATTAGAACTCAGTGTCTCCTGGTGATTGGCCCAGAGTCACCCAGCTGGCTTTCATGCCTAAGGCAGAACTATAACTTACAGTCTCCCAGTTCCTAACCCGGTGCCTTAACCACTACTAAACCAAACTGGCATAATACTGTTGGAAGAAATGTCCACATGGGTTCAGTTCCAAGTGGGGAGAAAGACACTGGAAACATGCAGGCTGATTGAAAAGATGGTTTAATGGTGGACAGGACCACATGGTTTGAGGTCCTGGGCAATCAAGCACATGGGTGAGAGAGAGATTTATATCCTCTCTTGGGCCCCGCACTAGAGCTTCCTGTTCCTGTGTAAGAAATGTATTCTGATTGGTTGTCAGACTCCCATGGGGCCATGCAGGGGTACGTTTGTAGGTTCTCTTGAGCCCCAGGCTTGGTTGAATCTTGCTGGGTGATTTAATCTTCCCAGGTGCCATTTGGGGAGATGGGTAAGGGCTAATCCTATTATGTCCTGAGGGTGAATGTCTTTTGTGTTGTAGATAAGCTGGCCCAGACTTTTGTCTTGTAGATAGGATGGCCCAGTCTTTCTGGGGCTATTAACAAAGCTGGGGGCTGCTTTCCAAGAGCATGTGTATCCTTTTCTTATCCAGGGAAGTATAATATTGCCTTTTTAAATATTTCCTAGAATATTTCATTCGTCTAGGAGAAGGGTGGGTGCTAACTTCCTACAATACAATATTACAAAGTTATGGTGCTGAGACTGGAGTCCTATGAATCTTTATTTCATTCATTCATTCAGTTGAAACCATTACTATTTCCCGTATGGGGGTCTGGGACGAGAAAAAAATATACAATCACAAGATTTGCAAAGCAGGAAGGACGGCAATAGATTATTATGGTCTGTTCCCCTGGTAAATTTCTGCCCTTTATGGAGCTAATAAGGGAACCAGAAACGTTGATGTAACTCTCTTCTCACAGTCCTGAAACATCTATGAGTTCTCCAGTTGTTCACTAAAATTATTCTAATTGCTACCTCTGATCAAAGGGCTCTACATGCAACCAAATCCTCCCAGCAATATTCCTTGGTGCCTTGCCCTGCCTTGTTCCTCTCGATCATTTTACTTTGTTCTAATTAAAAATGACAAAGTTATTACATAAAATTCGCTAATTGTGCCTTTACAGCTTTTCTCAGTACTTTGAGATGCAAATCTCAGGGACGATGCTGAGAGAATTTATGCAGAAGGGAAAAAATATATATATATATAGGCCACAAATAGGAAGTGGCATAATTAAACCGTGATAT